CCCGCCGCGAGCCAGGCCGAGCGGTGCGTAAAGGTCCCCAAGTCCCCGAGTGTGCGGGGTGCACGGATGGTCGGGCTGTGCGGGGCTCTGCGCTGCCCGTGTGTCTGTGAGTGGCTGCGTGTGTGTGTGTCTGGGTGTGTCTGCCTGTGTACGTGTGTCTGGATGTTTTTGTGTGTCTGCCTGGGGGTGGGGGAGCTGAGTATGTATGTGTGTACTGCTGTGCATCTGGGTGTGTCTGGGTGTGTGTCGAGTGAGTGTGCATGCACATGTGTGTGTCTAGGTGTTTTTGTCTGTGTGTGTGCATATGTGGGTGTTTTGTCACCCACATATGGGGGGGTGAGTGTGTATGTGTGCTTGTGTGGGCCTGTGTGTATGTGTCTGGATGGCTCTCTAGGTGTGTATATGGGTCTTTCTTGAGTGTGAGTATGGGTCATCTGTGCCTGTGAGTGTCTGGGTGTGTATGTCTGGGTGTCTGTATCTGCTTGTTTGTGTGGTGTGTGCATCTATGTGTGTGTTGGTGTGTGCGGCCATCCATGTATATGCAGATGGTTGTGCACCTGCATGTGTACGTCTGCTTGCCCTGGCTTTGTGTATCCAAATCTGAGTGTGTGTGATTGTGTTTGCCTGAGTGTAAGCCAGTGTGTATGTCTGTCTTTGAACATCTCTGTATGTGCCTGTTGAATGTAACAAGTGTGCAAATGTCCCTATGTGTGTGTGCGTGTGTTGGAGAAGGTCGGGGTTTGGAGGACATGTGAGCTTGTGTCTGGTCTGCTGTTTGTGATTTTGTATGTGTTTGGTGGGTCTGAGTCTCTGTGTTTTCTGTGTGAGAGTAGGCCCAAGCTGTGTGTATTTGGGATTTCTGGGTTTGTGAGTTGTGTATCCATGTGCAAGTAAGTGTGTCTGCACACACGTAAGAGTGTAGGCGTCTGTGTATCCAGGCTGAGAAGGTCTTTCATGGGGCACCAGGCCTTCAGGCTGTACAGGTGGGGGTCACCCTGGAACGTAGGAGGGGGGTTTCCCTGCCAGTGTGTTTGTGTCTGGGTGAACCAGTGGCGCCGCCCACTTCCCCTGACTTGGTCATGGAGACTCTGTCTGTCTCCAGTGGTCAGCCCTGGCCTTTAATTAGCAGCTTCTTGGTGGGGGGGGGCACCCCAGCCCTCCTTCCTGCAGGCTGGCTGGCAGGCAGGCTGGCGATGGAGCCTTTGTCTGCTTTCTGGCCAGGGACTGCCCTGGCTGATTGTCTGCCCAGCCAGATGCACAGAGCCCAGAGCTCCCCTGGGCTCCACAGAGAGGCCCCGTGGCCTGTGGGTCCCCCCAGGATCCCCGGGAGGGGATGGAGCCCCGGTTTCCGGGAGGCACTTCCTCCTGTGGGCCTGCCCCCTCCCCCAGGCTGACGGCCTCCCTACTCCTTCTAGAAGAGGTATGTGGAAAATAACCTAACCTAATATACACATACCCACACACCAGGTCACACACACGCATATGTACAGTACACATACTACACATACACACCACAGTGTACACCTCTCCTTGACCTTCCCTTTGAAATCTCCTGACATCACCCATGGGTCCCTCATCACTGATACCCCATTAGGAGTTTTTTGGTAACTTTTTTTTTTGGGGGGGGGGTTCAGTCGTGGGCCTGAACTCTGGGCCTGGGTGCTGTCCCTCAGCTCTTCAGCTCAAGGCTAGCACTCTACCACTTGAGCCACAGCGCCACTTCCGGCTTTTTTTTTCTGCTTATGTGGTGCTGAGGAATCGAACCCAGGGCCTCATGCATGCAAGGCAAGTGCTCTACCGCTGAGCCACCTTCTCAGCGGATCATGTTTTTTGGAACTCTTGCCTTCACCCTGATACCTAGGGGCCTCCTGCAGACCCCACCCCACCCCTGTGGGAGAGGTAAGTCCCCTCCCTCTTCCCATCCATGCTGTGTCCTGCCCCCCTCCCACCTTATTTGAGCTAAAAGTCACTGTTAGGAGCCTCCAGGGACAATGGTAAAGGGCTGGAAGGACTATTTGGGGGCCAGGATGAGAGACCCAAAAATGATAGCCAGGCCAGCACTGGGTGGCTCACACATATAATCCTATCTACTTAGGATGCTGAGATTTGAGGACCATGGTTTGAAGCCAGCCTGGGCAGGAAAGTTCTTGAGATTCTTATTTCCAACTTGCTAACTAACCAAAAAACAAAACAAAACAAAAACCCCACACAATAGTGGAACTGTGGTAGAATGCTAGCTTTGAGAGAGAAAAAAAAAAACCCTCAGCCACAGCAACAGACACTGAGTTCAAACCTCAGGACTGGCACCAAAACAAAAAGAGGATAGCCAGGACTAAGAGAGTCACTGGTAGTGTGGGAGGGGCAGGGGCAGGGAGGGATGGGGATAGTGGGGTGCTGGCCCTTTGGGTAAGGGGTGGGAGTTAAGGCAAGAGGCAGTTAGAAGAGCCCATCCTGGAAGAATCTCAAGTCTAGATCTGGTTGAGCATGTCTGATCTCCTGATGCATCCTAGCCTGATTCCTCTTTGTCCCTCTCTTTGCCCGTCTCCCTGCCCTGGCTCTACAGAAAAGGTAACTGAGGCCCACGAGCCCAAGTGTACACTGCAGGGAAGGACCTACCCTACAAGGTTTGAACACCACACCACCAACTGAAGCTACCTTAAGGTAATTTTAAAAAAAGAAGAATGGGAGATGGGAAGGTGGCTTAGTGGTAGAGTGCTCGCCTGGTATGCATGAAGCCCTGGGTTCGATTCCTCAGGACCACACATGCACAGAAAAAGCCAGAAGTGGTGCTGTGGCTCAAGTCATTGAGTGCTAGCCTTGAGCAAAAGAAGCTCAGGGACAGTACCTAGGCCCTGAGTTCAAGCCCCAGGGCTGGCCAAAAAAAAAAAAAATGGACATTACCCTCACTGACTGGGATAGCAGGGAGTCAAAATGTGTGGGAGTAAGCTGCCCATGAGTGGAGGAATCCAAGCCCGAGAGAGGAATGTGGGCCTTCTACATCCACATCGCAAAGAAACCTGGCTTCCCTCCCTTGCGGCCCTGTTTGAGGACCGGCTCTCAGACTTGGCTGGACCACAAAGAAAACAAGAGAGTGTGTGATCATACAGAGGAAGAGGGAAGGGGGGAAGGAGGCCTTGGCACAAGGTTGTGGCCCAAAGTCATGTCTGCAACCAACCGGCTGGCCTGAGCCACAAGCCCCAGAACAGCCCAGAACCTCCCCAGCCCAGAACCTGGCGATGCAGGATCAGGAGCCAGGCTAGAAATGGAGGAGGGAGGGACGAGAGGCCTCAGGAACAAGGACCACCATATTGGGAGTTTCCTGCCCCATTTGATGCACGGTATAGGGTGTTCCCCCACCCAGGATGGGGGCTGGAGGACCTCCATACTTGCCTTTGCTGTTTAGTCTGGGTCAAAGTTTCACACTGACCATCACCCCTGTTTTCAAGCATACCCTGTGCCAACCTTCCCATTCTTCACAGCCCCCCCCATTCCCGTCCTACCCCAGCCCCTGGGCCCCCTGCCAGGCCCCTCCCTGTCTCCCTCCAAGCCCTTTACCCTTGCAGAGATTCTCTCCCAATTGATTTCTTCCCTTTGCTGCCACGTAACTCTCAGTCCAGGGTGGCCACGTGACGGTGTCTCTCAGGAGAAGCTGTTTCCCCGTGGTGTGCAGCTTCTGTCCCCACCTTCCCGCCCCCAGCCCAGTCATTGAATCTGGTTTCCAGTCTTGGTGGCCACGTGACCTTCAATCTTTTTATCATCACCCACTCTCCTTCTACAAAGGGAGACGAAAGTGAGGACTTCTTCGTTAATCTGGGAAACTTGTGAGCCACACGCTTTCACGTGGTAGGTGGCCACAGTGTCTCAGCCCCTGCCAGTCCCGTTCCAGAGCAGGACGCAACCTCCTTATTCATGAGGGAAGTGTCCTGGTCATCTGAAGGGCTGTAGGTCTCCCCGCTGCATCCCCCATCACCCAATCAGTCAGGTAAAGGGATCTTGTGTTGGTTATGCCAGGCAGGGCCTTCTTCTGACCGGGCTCCCTCTTCTCTCTACCTACCCCTCCCCCAGGAACCCAGTGATGCTGCCCAGGCTGTGAACAAGGGGGCAGCACTGTGGGGGCTGCCAGCAGCCGGGGCTGGGAGAGACATGTGGACACGTAGCCCCTATGGCTCCCGCCTACCAGATCCTCCGCTGGGCCGTTGCCCTGGGGCTGGGCCTCACATTCAAATTCACACAGGCCTTTCGATCTCAAGGTAGGCGCTGTCCAAGGATGGCAGTGGGGAGGGAGAAGGATGTTAAAGAAGCCAGTTAGGACTCAAGACAAAAAGGGTTGAAGCAACTTACAAGTATAGCCTGTAACCCTAGGGAAGACATCCGGAGGCTCAAAGTTCAAGGTAAGCCTTGGGCAAAAAAAAAAAAAAAAAAGAAACAAGTTCTGGAGACCCTACTTCAAACAATAAAAGCTGAGCTTTGAGCAGGAGCCCCCCATCTCATCTATTTGGCAAGTATCAGTAAGAGGCTTGCCATCCAGGTCAGCTGGATCTCAAATCAACACCTTGTTTGAAAAACAACTAGAACAAAAAAAGCTGGAGGCATGGTTCAAGTAGTAGAGCACCTGCCTGGCAAATGCAAAGCTGTGAGTTCAAATTCTGATCTTACCATAAATGGGTCAGGGGAATGGGTTAGGATAAGGGTGTCGTGGATGAAAGCTGGGGTCATTTAGGCCGAGCCTTGCCATCAGTGACTTGGGTCTGGGGTTGGTAAGGCCAGTATTATCTGCCCCAGACCAGGGTGCACTCCAGATTTATGATGCTTGCCCACAGATGAGTTCCTGTCCAGCCTGGAGAGCTATGAGATCGCCTTCCCCACCCGTGTGGACCACAACGGGGCACTGCTGGCTTTCTCTCCCCCTGCCCAACCAAGGCAGCGCCGGGGCACGGGAGCCGCAGCTGAGTCCCGCCTCTTCTACAAGGTGGCCGCACCCAGCACCCACTTCCTGCTGAATCTGACCCACAGCCCCCGTCTGCTGGCAGGGCACGTCTCGGTGGAGTACTGGACCCGGGAGGGCCTGGCCTGGCAGAGGGCTGCCCGGGCCCACTGCCTCTATGCCGGCCACCTACAAGGCCAGGCCAGCAGCTCCCACGTGGCCATCAGCACCTGTGGGGGCCTGGTGAGCTGAGGATTCTGGGAAGCTGGGGGGGGGGTGGGCGGCAGCGGCGGCTGCTCACAGTTATGGGCAGTTAAGATAAAACATTTCTAAATAGATATCAGAACCAGAAGCCAGTGGTTCACACCTGTAATCCTAGCAGGCTGAGATCTGAGGGTCGAGGTTAAAAGGCAGGCCAGGCAGGAAAGTCCGGACTCTTAAGTCCACTAAACTTCCAAGAAAGCCAGAAGTGAAGCTGTTGCTCAAAGGCTAGAGAGCTATCCTTGTGTAAAAAAAGCTCAGGAACAGCACCCAGGCCTTGAGTTCAAGCCCTAGGACCAGCAAAAAAAGAAAAAATAGAAGTCAGCAAAGGACTCTTAACAGGACCTATTTAAAGTATTTTGAACTAATCAGTACTTTTTGAAATGCAGCTAAAGCAATACTTACCGGAAAATGTTGGGTTCCACAGGCTCATGCCTATAATCCTAACTACTCAGGAACTGAGAATCTCAGTTCAAAGCCAGCCCCACAGGAAAGTCCATGAGACTTTTATCTCCAATTAACCACTAAAACCACAGAAGTGAAGCTGTGGCTCAGGTGGTAGAGTACTAGCCTTGACTAAAGAGCATTGCTGTGGCCTTGAGATTAAGCCCCAGTGCCAGCACAAAAATAGGCAAAGTAGATAAACATCCCAAGAAATTAGAAAAGGCATAATAAAATAAACCCAGTAAAATAGAAGGAATGAGGCAGGTAACTGGTGCATACCTGTAGTCTGAGCTATTTGGGAGGCTGAGATTGGGAGGATTGCAATTCAAGGCCAGCCTGAGGAGGAAAATTTTGTGAGACTTCCTTATCAATCCATAACTGCTCCCAGGGTCACACATGCTGTCATCCCAAACTATATGGGAGGCTGAGATTTGGGATGATCAAGGCACCAGGCCAGACCAGGCAGATAAGTCTGAGAGACTTCCATCTCTGTGGAGGGAACCTGGATGTGGTGGCATGCCTGCAACCCCGCTGAGGATAAGTCTGTCAGAGGCAGATCACAGGTATACAGCCAAGTGGGAATCAAGACCCTCATCTAAAACGAACCAGTGAAAAACATCACTGGAGGGGTGTCTCAGCCATATTGCACCAGCCTAGCAGAGCTTGAAGCCCTGCTTTCGAATCCCCAGAACCACCAAAACAACATGAGGTTGGAGGCATGGCTCAGTGGGTAAAGCGCCAGCCAGTGAGCAAAAGCATCAAGTACAGAGTTCAAGTCCTCGTCTGGGATGCCCCCAACCCCCGCCAAAAAAAGAAAAAAAAAAAAAAGACAGAGGTGAGACTGTAGAGTTCTAAGGAAGCAGGAACGGAGCTGAGCTTTCTCTCCCACCACAGCATGGCCTGATTGTGGCAGATGAGGAGGAATACCTGATCGAGCCCCTGCGAGGGGCTGCCAAGGGGGCCCGGGGACCAGAGGAAAGCGGCCCGCATGTGGTATACAAACGTTCTTCCCTGCGCCACCCCCATCTGGACACAGCCTGTGGAGTGAGAGGTGAGCCTGTCTCTCAGGATGGGCAAGAGGTGGCACCACACCCTTCCCAGAGGCGGTCAGCTACCAGAGGGACAGAGATAGATCCAGAGATGTCACTTGGGAATTGCACCTGCATAAAGTGAGGAACAGCAGCAGTGCTGAGCCCCATAGCACTGAGGCTTAATTACATCACAGATTACCACCCCACCTCCCCCACCCCAGGAAAGTCAACAGTGAGGAAGCTCCATGAGCCTGGAATCCCAGCTACTCAGGAGGCTGAGATCTTAAGGATGGAGATTCAAAGCCAGCCAGAAAAGTGCAAGAGGCAGTTTCTCCAGTTAACCAGTGAAAAGCTTGGCTGGAGGAGTGGCTTAAGTAATGGAGCACCTGGAAGGGAGGGAAGAAAGAAAGGAGAGAGGGAGGGAAAAGGGGGAGGAAGGGAGGGAGGGAAGAGAAGAGCAAGCTAGGCAGCAGTAGCTCACACCTATAATCCCAGCTATTCAGGAGGCTGAGGTCTGAGGAGCAACAGTTTAAAGTCAGCTTGGATAGGAAAGACTGTAAGACTCTTTATCTCCAACTAACAAGTAAAAGAATGGAAGTGGTGCTGTGGCTCAAGTGGTAGAGTGCTAGCCTTGAGTGAAAAAGCTGAGCAAGAGTGTGAGGCCCTGAGTTCCAGTCCTAGTTACTGGCACAAAAGAAGAACGACAGAGGGAGGGAAGGAGGGAGGGGGGAGGGAGGAAGGAAGGAGTGAGCGAACTCCCACAGGGGACAGGAAGTCTGGAATGGCAACTGGAGAGGCTTTCATGACACACTGAGCAGCTGTTCATCCAGGCAGCTTGGCCACGGGGCAGATGTGTCCAGTCGGACATCTGGGTGATACTGGAGCTGATGGTTTGACAGGAGACAGGCTAATACGCGGCCAGCCCCTTCTCAGCTGCAGTAAGGAAGGCGGTGTTGGGCATCTCCAGCCCCGCCAGCACTGTGCGGGGAGGGGGAGAGCTCAGCTGCATCACTGGCTTCCCCCAGATGAGAAAGCATGGAAAGGTCGGCCATGGTGGCTGCGCACCCTGAAGCCACCGCCCGCCCGGCCCCTGGGGAATGAAACGGAGCGAGGCCAGCCCGGCCTGAAGCGCTCAGTCAGCCGAGAGCGCTACGTGGAGACCCTCGTCGTGGCCGACAAGATGGTGGTAGCCTACCATGGCCGCCGAGACGTGGAACAGTACGTGCTGGCCATCATGAACATTGTAAGTGCCTCCCCCTTCCTGCAGAGGTCAGGGAAAGAGAGCAGGTCTCTAAAACACCACTTGGGTCCAGAGGGGTTCTACAGAGAGACTGGCTAGGCAGCCAGCCTGGACTTACAAATTTCAGCCTGAAACTTTTTTGTTTGCCTCTAAGCAAGGTGCTGCCCCTCTGGGCCTTGACTTTTACCCATCTGTAAAATGAGGATATGGCAAGATAGATTCAGGCCGAGCGTGGTGGCGCATGCCTATAATCCCAGCTATTTGAAAGTAGAGATTGAACATTTGCTTCTGGTCACATTGTGTCCTGTCTGTGATCTGCCTCCCTTGCTCTTGGACTTGCCACATTATCTAAAACTTGCCAGAGTTCTTGGAGGGTTCCAGACAGGACAGTGTCAGCCCAGGACTCCACAACCCCTGCCCAGCCTATTCTGCATCATCTATGCCCATGCTTACCCTTCCCCCCACCACCACTTCTGCCCTCCCTCCTGTGCCCACAGCTTATCTGGGTGCCTCAGAAACCTGTGGAGTGATGTCCGATGGACACCCTTCCATCAACCTCTGTGCAAAGACACAGCAGCCAGAGGGGTGAGCAGGGGTCAGAGGTCAAGTAGACAGATCAATGATAAACTGACTCAGGACAGCTGGAAAGAAACATGCTATTTCCCCAGTTCCCACTTTTTTTTTTTTTAATGTCAGTCATGGGACTTGAACTCTGTCCCTGAGCTTTTTCAAACTCAAGGCTAGCGCTCTTCCACTTCGAGCCACTGCACCCCTTCTAGTTTTCTGGTGATTCATTGGAGATTTAAGAATCTCATGGAGGGCTGGGAAGGTGGCTCAGTGGTAGAGTACTTGCCTTGCATGCCTGAGGCCCTGGGTTCGATTCCTCAGCACCACATAAGCAGAAAAAGCCAGAAGTGGTGCTGTGGCTCAAGTGGTAGAGCAC